CAGAGTAACAAAACTGTGCAGTTATATGCATATTGTTTTCATCAGTTCGCATCACCTTTGTGCTTGCTATATTTTCGCCATTAAGTATCGCCCGGCCTCTACACGCACGTTTGAACGAACTGTGTTTTGCCTGCCTCACATCCGGCAATGAATTCTTTAGCTTTGTACCGTCTGATCACCCGTTTAATTTGTCGGACTGGAAAACTAATGCAGCGTTATGATTCACGACTAACTTACTAATACCGCGTCGAAGCTAGTAATCTATTAGCTGCATCGTCAACGTATAGCAAACTGCTGTTGTAATATTTTTTCCAGTAGCCTCAGGTGTTCTACAGAAAACAAACCGTGACTTTTAAGCAAGAAAATCTACTCCCGACTATGAGTTATACGTATAAAATTGTGAGATGGGCTTCACTGTAAATACTGAAGAGTAGCGAAACAATGCCTAATACACAACCTAAAAAATTAATGCTGATTGGGAACAGCGTATGATTCGGCATAAAAGACGAGTGGAATGATATGAGCACTCACACCGTGGCACGGGACTGAAGCATTCGTGCATCACGTACAACCGTATATTCATGGACGGCTATTCTGATATAAATCTCCATAGATGAACACATATCTCCATGAGAATTTTCACTTAGGCATACGTCAGTATTCTATGAAGAAGTGATTAGCTTGGCAGTTATTTGGCTAATCTACATACGAACCTCTATGGGTGAAAATATTGGGCAGTCATCGATTTTGTTTGTGCAGTGGAGATTGTCAAATCCATGGAATAACTCGGCTTCCTATCAACCACCACCGCACTGTTGCAAAAACGACTTCTAATTGAGAACTCGAGGGAGCATGCTGACTTACATTCCACGAAAGACCCGATTTTGAGCGTCTCTATGAAATTCAAAGGCATAAAATAAGCATTTTTATCGTCCAAGCCTGGAAAGTTGTCACATGCCATGTCGAGAGGAGAAGAGGAATCCTGCTGTCGACGTCTACTTGTGGACTGGTCTGCCACTGGCCCAGGATAGATACTGCATAGGGTGGGTAATAAGTGTCCTTGATAAATTTTCAGGCAACCTGAATTTTGATGAAATACCTCGAACAGTAGCAGATGTGATGACAAACACGCTCTCTGTCCAGTCGAGTTGAATGAGAGGTGAGTACCTGCATTCTTCTGTCAACACGAGATCTATTCAGACAGTCGCATACGGAGATAAATTTGGTATAATACTTTCTGAAGCTCTGTAAAGCTTATCCTTGTAGGTGTCAAAATCTTGGATTTTATGAAATGTCAAAAGGTCCTTGATGCCTCAAATATCGTTATTATCGCAGAAATGTTAACACATTCCTTATTCCGCATCTGTTTAGCTCACATTCTGTCATGTTAAGGGGTTTTGTTGGCGAGCAAACTGAAATCAATTAACATCTTGACATGGGTCCAGACAAGCCGTGTTAGGACGGTAAGGGCAGTTACAGTCGCGGCTACATTAATCAGCTCCCAAAATATGTTTTTATGGGATAATTTGTAATTGTTTTCCACTGGCTGATGAAAAATTTCACTCACTCTCAGTGAATGTTGGAACTCTTGGAGCTTGGAAGAATGAAGATATAGTGGGGTTATTATTGTTGCAATCATGCTAGAACAATATCACTAATTCTTGAAACCATTTTCTGATTTGTATAAGGCAGTGCGCTGTCGACGGCCAGTCGCGGAATTTTCTTAGAACAGGCAAATAATTAAACATAAAATGAGATAACTGACATGCTTTTGAAGGGGAAGATGGACGGCGAACCAGGGCTGCTATTTCAGAGCCTCGAACATGCTTGAGTCATTTGGTCATCATAGATTCGACAAAGATCTTCTTGATGAAGTTGTCATTAGGCACGGTACAAATAGATGGAGCACATCTTCCTAAGTGTGCTCTCTCAGTGTCAAACATTTATTGGCATTGCACACCGTTAAATTACAGTTCAAATTAGACCTGGTTTTACACCGAGATCTTACTGGGGAGCGTTCTTGTTTATATGGCTTTTACGCAGCGGTCAGTTGTGTATACTGCCTTTCTGGATATATTTTCATCTTGCGCTGTTAAGGATACCCTTCAAGAGCACTTTCGAATATCAGTGTGCTGTGGATATCAGAAACAGTACCGTCTAAATACACAATGAATATCACATCTAGTGATGTTTTATTTCAGGGACTTTAGTCGAGAAATTCTATTTACAGTGCCAAAAAAGGGAAAAAATACTTCAACTATTCTATAGTACAACATCTTTTGCTGGTGAAAGTCAATAATTACCCAACAGCGGACAAATGCGGCTATAAAGCCTGTAAGCCTACAAGAGTTTACGAAAAATCAGTCTCATCAGACTCACCAAACACTAAAAGCAAAAATCAGCAGTATGGTGAGTAAATTTTTTAAAGCATTCACCTTGCGGTGCAGGTCAGTCAGATTCTCAACAATAGCAAATTAGTTAGCCCCAAGTGAAATAAGACTGTTTGTATTTTAAAAAAGACGAGTGTGGCGGAAGTTATTCATAGATAGCCGAAACCGTTTGGCTGCCACAAACGTGCGGTCAAATTACTCAGTGACAAAATATCGATCGTCTGTTATATAGCATGATCATCAATATGTGCGAAAGGGTCATGAGCTTTATATTAAAAATTACAACATAGTGCACAGGGAGGATGAAGTTTTGTTCACTTGATTTTTCTGGGAGGGCTGGGAATCTTATCAGGGTAGTGGCCTACACTTGATCTAACCGCGTGGATCGAGGAACAGAAACAACCTGTCGGCCATTCTATTGCGTATATTTGCATTATAGGTAGAGTATGTCAGCCCGAGCATACGGACCGCACCATCACCGCAGATAAAAACACTTCGCATAAACAAATCACCTTTCCTTAGCGCTATATTTGCCATATAATCATAAAACTTTCCTTCATATGAAAGTGAACGCATAATATTTGGTCCGCGATCTTGCCCGAGGAAGCTGGTAAAAAGCATCTCGTAGTATTTATTGATGGACATTGTGTAAAATGTTGACCAAGAGTGCAGTAATCTTACTGGTGGTGGAGGTTATTTGAGTCTGCATTAGGCGTTTTTGTCACTGGTACGTTCGGTTACAAGTCACAGCGCAGNAACACTTGATCTACCCGCGTGGATCGAGGAACAGGAACAGCCGTTCTATTGCGTATATTTGCATTATAGGTAGAGTATGTCAGCCCGAGCATACGGACCGCACCACCACCGCACATAAAAACACCTCGCATAAACAAATCACTTTTCCTTAGCGCTATATTTGCCATATAATCATAAAACTTTCCTTCATATGAAAGTGAACGCATAATATTTGGTCCGCGATCTTGCCCGAGGAAGCTGGTAAAAAGCATCTCGTAGTATTTATTGATGGACATTGTGTAAAATATTAACCAAGAGTGCAGTAAACTTACTGGTGGTGGAGGTTATTTGAGTCTGCATTAGGCGTTTTTGTCACTGGTACGTTCGGTTACAAGTCACAGCGCAGTCTCAGAAATGTAGCATTTGATGTTAGTCCAATGAACACGATTGCCCATCGCATGTCATCACCTTTCGAGAACTGCTGAACAGTGGCATTTATCCTATTTCGTGGAGTTTGTATGCAGCGATACAAACAGCAGTTGAGTATCATGGAACTAGATCCAACAACCGTTTCCCAACTATTTAGTTAACAATAGTGCTAAACTTTGTCCCTCTCTAGGGATGCGATCTGAACTAAGAACTACTGACTCTGGTCGCAACTTATGAGCAACAAAAACCCGTAGCTAAATACAGCGTTCAAAGCCTCTCGCGTTTGTTGCAATCTTACGTTCCTGAGGACTTTGCTACTACATTCATTTACGATTGATCGGCGGATTAGTTTAGAGACCTGTACACGAACCAACAGAATTTACAGACGCGGGGTGTTTTCTGCAGGGGGGTGTTTTTTATATTTAGGTGAACGAATTGCCGCGTCCGTAAATGAAGCTACAAATAAGAGGCGAGTGAATTTTATTTTTAAGATTGCTCACATAATCCAAAACGTTGGTACATTGCTACAGTGATAAAAGAAAACGGAACCAAAACAAATGGTTTAGCCGCTCGTAGAGAGAATTCTTTCTTGTGAGCGGAAATAGATAAACCATCACATCTTATATTCTTACCAGATCTCGCCTAAACTTTGTAACTTGAACCAGCTTGAGAGGTTTATTTAACCACATGGAAACATTCGAAAACGCACCAGAAAACAAGTTGTCTGGTTGTTGGTCTGTTCGCCGAGCTTGGCAGTTGGATTGCAAACGTTTCATCACCAATCGACGTGACATCGTCAGTGCAGGGTTGAGTGGGTCGATGTCATCTCGACTGGTGATGAAACGTTTGCAATCCAACTGCCGAGCTCGGCGAACAGACCAACAACCAGACAACTTGTTTTCTGGTGCGTTTTCGAATGTTTCCAGTTGTCTGTAAACACTACCACAGGGCCACGGCAACTAGCTGTGATCAGATCCAGGTTCTCTCCTCGCTTTGATTTGTCGTGAAAACGGTGAAGTGTAATCAAGGGAACACGTGTCGTTCTTATTTTCTAAATTCTGCTTTCCGGAATGCTAAACCAGCTGACATTCTTCATTCCCTTTCCGCAGTATCTGGAGAGATTGCTCGATGGATCACGGTCGATATTTTAACGTAAATGTTCCCCTCTAGTTTCCTTCTTAGTTGTGGTATATGATGCATTTCCCCTCAGGGCTCAAGAGAACTTCAAGCAGAGCTCTTGGCATATGTCTACGTCAAACGTCGAACGTCCTACACGCCGAATCAAAGTTTGTGCTCAATATTCAACTACTCTGCTATTCTCTGGCTGTTTTCGATAACTCCTGTCTATCTCATCGCCTGTTCTGCAGATAGCCAATGTATGTTTGGTCTTCACCCACTGTGTGGCTGGCTTTAATCAGTTGTCCCAGACTGCTAAACCTATTGTGGGCCAACTGTTACCATGTTAACAGTTTTCCTTCTAAGTATACATGCACCACATAGTAGAATATTATATACTACGATATGAAAATGCATACCCTGTATTAATGCACATACACCACTATGTGTATAATACAGCTATTCAGTTGTAAACTTCCAGACAATCTTGGTAATTTTGCTTCCTTGGAATTCGAGATATGCTAACTTGCTAACTTAATAAATAAATTCATATACTCTTAAGTTTGTGATGCTTACCATTCCTGGCTCTTTCTGGCCGAGCTGGAAATATAAAGGCAACTCAAAGCTCAATACAAACTTTTTGAATTTGGATCAGCAAAAGGCGCAAAGGCAAAACAGATTCAACATCAAGATCAAGCAATCTTGGTTAAACTTCATTTACCTGAGCAGGAGAACAAGTCGTGTACACCATGGGGCTCAGAAGTGGACATAAAGCTAGTTGTATATCTCAGGCGTGAGGTGCACTCTCAAAGTTAGGGCTTGATCATCGTAGTGTACGTTCTCCAAAGAATAGACCAATACTCATATGTGTAAGGAACCGCCACTCGAGGAGCCGGTAAGTACCAGGGGTTGTGTGATGCACCCTACGTCACCCTGTTACTCCATCATCACGAGACGAAAGGAAAGGTAGTTGTTTGAATTTACCAGCGGGAGCAAAATTTCCGTTCGTAAAGAGTTCACCATGAACTGAATCTAGTGGCAGAATCAATCCGCTACTGAAACGTAAACAACTGTTTCGCAACCGCTAATATCAACTAAGGCAGACGAGCGGGCTTCAGTAAGAATGTTGCCAACTGTTATTTTTCACCAGTGTGGTCAAAAACCTTGGATCACTTTCATAGCGCGAAGTGATAACTAGCCCTTCGATCACTCTTATGTATAGCTAAAGGGCAACTATGTGTGACAGCCATGCATTGGTTAACAAAATACCTATTCTGTGGTGATGCCAGCGATATAATCTGCCATGAAGGGTAACTTTATCCCTTTTAAATTGTGGACGTGGTCACTGGGAACACACTCTGATTTGCAAGGGTGTCTTGCATTACGTCGCCTTCCGTAGTCGATGTGGACCTTCTAAATTGGTATTGTAAGTCTCCTTGGATGACCTGTCTAAGATCTTAGTCATTTATTATTCGATCACCGGAATATCCAGATTTTCGTATTTATTTTGTATACAATGAACTGAAGCCACCTTTGATAAGCGAATGTCTGGTTTCTTCTTAATGATAAAACCCTGACTAGTTTTCACATGTAGAATCCTAGAGAGCTTCAACACCACTCCAAAGCATCAAATTTACCAGAAAGGTAAATGTAGACATCAACATAGCATAATGAAGCACAAGTTTAAGTGGATATTTTAATCTGAATGAAAGTGAAGCTGATCGTCACGATCTACAAAATTCCCTAAATTCCTCGGTGATTTAACTAAGTGAGA